CGATATGGTATGCGGTATTCTTTACTTAATTTTTCAAAAAATGAGCTGAACACAACTTTCATTGATAAGTGGCTCAAGGCCGAGGGTGGTAATCGATCAATAACCCATTAAGGGGTGAGGGCTTTGCCGGCTTCGCCTCCTTCGGATTATTGATAGAACTTCACCAAGTGATGTACATTATTCCACGTTCGTGGTATTCTAGACCCATTTGGGTGTTTAAGTTTGTAGGTGCCGACTTTTACCACGTCACTGACGATGTAGGGCCCTTCATACTTCAGGGGCTAGCTTGCCACCTTCCATCGGCTTGTTTGCCTCCCTTCGGTGGAGGACGTAGTCCCCCACTTGGAATTCTCGGGAACGTATTTTGGCGTCGTAGTATTATTTTACTTAACGTCGGTAGTTCTCCGCCCGGATGTAGGCTTGCTCGCGTCTCTCTTCGACCAAGTGGAGGTCGATCTTCATGTTCTCTTCGTTAGCTTCGGGTTCATATTGCTCGACCCGTCGGCTAGGTATAGTGACCTCCGTGGGTGCTTTTGCCTCAAAGCCATAGCACAGGGCGAAAGGTGTCTCGCCCGTCACCCTCCTCGGCATGGTACGGTAGCGTCCTCGAGTTTCTTCTTCAGGCCTTTTAGTATGGTTCTGTTAGCGTTCTCAACTTGCCCGTTACCTTGAGGGGCAACGGAGGAGAAACGATGCTTGATTCCCCATGCCTGGAGGAGCTCTTGGAAGGGTACGGCTTCAAATTGGGTGTCGTTGTCGAATATGATCTCCTGAAGGACGCCGAAGCGAGTAAGGATGTTTTTGTGTACAAACTTCTGGCACCTGGCCCCTGTGATGCTGGCCAAAGGTTCCGCTTCGACCCACTTGGTGAAGTAGTCGACCGTGACGATGATGTAGCGGTTGTTGCTGGCGGCTCTTGGCACGGGGCCGACCAGGTCAATCCCCCATCTTGAGAATGGGATTGTCGTGCTGACCAGGGCGTAATTGACGGCTGGCCGACCAGGGGCCTTCTGATGTACCTGGCATGCGGTACACTTCCTTGCAAGATTAGCACAATCCCGTGCCATCGTTGGCCAAAAATAGCCTTGGACGATGAGCCGGCACGACATACTGAAAGGGCCCTGGTGTGAGGAGCAAAGGCCGCCGTGGACTTCCTCCATGGCCGCTTCGGCCTCATCCTGGTGCAGGCATCGAAGGAGAGTGCCATTGTAGGATCTTTTGTAGAGCTTCCCGCCCTCAATGGTGTAGCTTGGGGCCCTGAGCTTGGCTAGTTTGGCCCTCTCCTCATCCTGGGGGGGGGGGGGGGGGGTCTCCCAAAGTGATGAAGGTCATGATGTCGGAGATCCAGTCCTTCGGACGTTGTTGAATGCACATGAACGGGCTGGCATGGATGCTGGACATGATGAGCTCCTCGATCTTGGCTATCTTGGAGATGTGCTTCGGGGTGTCCGTGCTGAGTTTGGAGAGAATGTCAGCCTCGGCATTCTCCGCCCTTGGGATCTATTTGATCTCATGGGTTTCAAATGCCTAGAGTAACTCTTCAGCTGCTTGCTTGTATTGCCTAATCCTGCCTTCCTTAGCCTCGTACGAGCCCTCGATCTGGCCCACCACCAGCTTGGAGTCACATTTGATTCTGGTGTGTCGCGCTTTGAGGCCGGCTGCGAGTCTGAGGCCGCTGAGGACGGCTTCATACTCGGCTTCGTTGTTGGACACCCTGAAGTTGAAGTGGATGGCATAGTATGCTCTGAATCCTTAGGGGGAAATGAATACGACGACGCCTCCACATGTTTTGGCGGCCGATGAACCGTCAGTGAATAGGGTCCATGCTTCGCCTGGCTCTGACCCGGGTATGGTGGCGGCCATCTCCCTCACCGTGCACTCGGTGATGAAGTCGGCCAAGGCTTGCCCTTTTATGGATGGTCTTGGCTTGATTTGAATCTGAAACTGACTCAGGAAGATTGTCTATTTCACCATCCTTGAGGAACTAGTTGGGCTCCGCATGAGTGCGCCGACGAGGGGCTGCTGAGTGAGGACGTGGACGGAGTGCGCTTGGAAATAGTGACCCAATTTCTTCACCGTATGGACAATGGCTAGCACTATCTTCTTGATGGGGGAGTACCTGAGTTCCGCCTCCCGTAGCGTCTTTCTGACGTATAAAATGACCCTTTGTACCCCTTCATCCTCACGGATGATCACGAAGCTGATGGCCTATGTGCTCACCCTAAGTACAAGAGGAGCATCTCGCCGGGCTTGGGCTTGGAGAGTACAGGAGGGGATGAAAGGTACTGCTTTAGCTCCTCAAATGTTTGCTGGCACTCTGTCGTCCATTTGAAGTTGTTTGCTTTGCGTATGATTTGGAAGAAAGGTAGGGGATCTTTCAGCCGATTTGGAGAGGAAACGGTTCAGGGCCGCAAGCCGTCCCATCAACCGTTGCACCTCTTTGACATTGCGCGGTGGCTCCATGTTCATGATGGCCTAGATTTTCTCTGGATTTATCTCAATGCCCCTTCGACTGACCATGTAGCTAAGGAATTGCCCCCTTTGGACACCGAAGGTGCGTTTCTTAGGGTTGAGGCGGAGTTTGAATTTCTTCATGATCTCAAAGATTTCCCGGAGGTCGTCAACATGGGTGGTAGATTGTTTGCTCTTGACGATCATGTCGTCGACGTATGTCTCCATCGTCCGGCTGAGGACTACTCTGAAGATTTTGGCCACAATCCTGGTGTATGTGGCGCCTGAATTTTTGAGCCCAAAGGCCATGACGAGGCCACCTCGCCAATGTATAGGGATTGGGCCCATTTCTTTCTCTGGGTGGCGGAGTCCCCCCAGTGTTGCCTCCCACGATGAGGTGGATGTGGTTCTTCTTCGGATGGGGCTCCTCAAAGTCCTCGTCGTTGTCGTTGAGTCTACTGATCTCACGCTTCTTCGTCGAGGGTTCTCCCCCATTTTTGCCGGTGTTTACCCAAGTATTTTTGCGTGGGCCACCTTTAACAAATTGGGAGAGTTCCCCCTGCCGAATCAGGCGCTCGATGGCTCTCTTCAGCGTGACACAATCGTCAGTGTTGTGGGAGGTGTTCTTGTGGTAACGACAGTAGGTGCCGCCCTGATGAACAACATAGATTTCTTTCGCCGATCGAGGATCTCTCGCATTGAGATCATGCTCCTCGGTGTAATCGAGGATGGAGCTGACCGAGTGTGTGAGAGGGGTCCTTGGCCTTTCCATCCTCGGATGCCATGGGCGATCCTTCTTGTTCTGTCCGCCATACCCTTGGCGGTTCTGTCCTCCTTGTCCTCAGTTTCCGGCCGAGGGTGTGCTTGGAGTTTGCGCATAGTTTGTCTTCTTCGAGGGTTGCCCTCCATCCTTCTTGTGGGACTGGAGCTCGTCGGCGTCAGCGTACAGGTTCCCTTGCTGGAGTGCCTTCGTATATGACCTCGGGGGGTTGGTGATGAGGCTCCTCGCATATGGGCTACTCCGGAGAGCGCCCTGATAAAGGACGAGGAGGGTGCGTTCATCGGCCCCTTCGACCTCGTCGGTCTCCGTCGTCCATCGATCGATGAAAGATCGGAGTGATTCGTCGTGTTGCTGCTTGACAGAGAGGAGATGGGTGAAGTATTTCTTTACGCGCTTCCTTCCAGCAAAGTGGGTGAGGAAGCGTTGGGCAAGATCCTACCATGAGTCCACGCTTCCTTCGGGGAGCGCGTTGAACCATTCGTACGCTGGTCCTTCGAGAGTGGAAAGGAACCAGCGACGGAGATATCCGTCTGACGCGTTCACCATCAGCATGTTGTTCTGATAGCGGCTGAAATGCTCCTGAGGGTCGATGCGGCCGTCGTAGGGCTTGTTGGCATTCCCCCAGTACTTCTCGGGAATAGGGGCCGAGAGTACCGTCATGGTGAAAGGAGTCCTGGTCCTGATTTGGATGATGGGGTCATTCCGTCCCTCGGCCAACTCCCTTTCCAAGGCGCTGACCTTGTGCATGAGTGCGTCGAAACCGGGGTCCCTGGATGTGTTGGTAGTAGGGATGGCGGCCGACTGCTTAACCTCCATCTCGGCAAGCCTCCTCTCCAGCTGGGCGATGACCTCACCCCGGGGGTCCTTGGTGGCCACAGTGGCGCCCTGCTGGGTTCGCACGTGGGCTGCGTGAGCCGTGTCGATTTGGTGGCGCGCGTCGTCCTCGTGCAACTTTCCTTTGCCCTTGTCCAGGTGCGGCCGATCCGCTGTCCGGGATACGGACCCCAAGCTTTTCCTTGGCGAGCCAGACTCACGCTCACCAATCCGTCCTGCCGTCCTCTCCGACGCTGGCCGACGGCGCGTGTCACCTAGCCTATTAAAGGCCGAGGCTTTTCCACGTGCTGGGGTCGGTCCAGCTCGAAGAGGGGAAATAGGGTGGGAGTGAGATGACAATGTGTCCTGGGCCTCCACCCCCTCGTTGTTGCCTATCTTCATGACCAACGGCTGTGGCGGTGGAGGTGGTGGAGTAGTGTTCCCCCCCGTCCTTGGCATGAGTGCGCTGAGGACGGTGGGGTTCTGAGCCAAGCTGGCGATGATGGTCGAGAGTGCGGCTTGAAGCTAAGGGTCAGCGGCGGGAGAAGCCGGTTGTCCCGAGGCGTTATCGCCCTTCTTCGTGCGTTTCTTCTCAAGGCCGATGCGGGCGTCTGGGGCGTTGCCGTTGAGTTGGTTGCGAAGATCAGTCGTGGGATCGATGGTCTCCTGGAAGACTTCCTCTTCCACGGCCTTGTCGGTCGTAGATATCTGAGTTGATATCTTATTCTTCTGAGTATGTGAATCATGAGGTCTGAACCCATATACTCCATCAATATCGTAGAAGGTATAGCCATATACGGGATAAATTAGGAACCCATGACCGAGTGAAAGGAAACGCTTCAATGTTTAACGATTGAGTCCATAATTTTCAGTTTAAGCTTAGTGTGCAGCCCTCTCTCCAAAAAAGAATTCTTTTTCAATAATCAACTGGTTTTAGAAGATTCAGCTCATTTGGGGCTGATATCCGCCACCGATCATAGCCCACATCTATAGCTTATCACCATGCATATATGTAGACAAGGAGAAATATACAAATGCAAGAACTCGTTAAATTTCTATCGGAAGTACATAAATGGGAGTGTTGTATATGTGCTAGAAGCATCAAGTGAGCCTTAATCATCATCATCAACATTATTCAAGCTATTACTAAGCACTGCTTTACTCCCTCGTCATCTTTAATATGAAGAGTGCAATGAAAATCTCGCCTCTTCTCCGGCAAACAGAGGGGGTTGAGATCTTGAAACTACACAGTGGGCTTATATAGCTGCTCCACCACGTTTCTGTACTCTGCAGACGAAGCAAATGTCCTATTGTTCAGATACTAAAAAGTAAATATCAGAATTCAGAAGTATTCTCTGATGTTTTCCAATTAATTATTAAATAATTATTAATTGTAAACAATAATACACAAATGGCTATCTGCTTTACCTTCTTCATTGCCCCATAGTGCTGCCGCTTGAGAGTTTAGAGGTGAGCTTGTGTTTGGTTCTGATTTACAAGTTCACGAAAAAATGGAAACAAGAGTTTATTTAAGCCATAAGCCATTAAACCCCAAAGTGGAGAACATGTATTCGCTCTTGATAGGACAGCTAAGAGCTTAAGATTGATCCAACCACCGCCCTACCTAGATTTCATACTTGAGATTCAGATAATTTCTTAAAGTGTATATTACCCTTATCCCACCAAACGAAATAAGAAATACTCCGTATTTAAGTTAGTTCAAACAATTGATTTCATAAGCAGTTCCCATTTTTACCCTTTGTATAGTTCCCCTGTTCAGGGAAGCCAGGAATAGGATTCAGTTGTGATCTAAGTGATTAAGTAGGATAAATCTGGAAATGTAAAGTAAATGCATATCCAAATAGACTAACTGGACCATCATTGTGAGACGGACTAAAATGGAATGGGGGACTATATCCTTGTGGGATTGGGATTTGAGGTACAAGAAGTGTGAAAGATTTACCTCCAAGCAAACTCTGGATTGAAAGTAATATAGTCCTCACATCATATGCAGAAGACCATTTGTCCTATAAAATTACATTTTGTCATACTACTGCATCTTACAGGTATGATTATGAATTGATATCAAAGAAGAGTTGATAAACCTGAAGAATGTCCAAGCATATGTTCCCATGACCATCGACATTGGGATGAAAACATGCAGTCACAAACTTAACAGTGGGGGGCTTGAATGGATACTCATTAGGGAAGGCCAAAGTGAGTTTGTATTCGGTTCCTTCGAAAACCGTATCTTTGCTACCTGTGATTGTCCCTGTCCAGCAGAATATGTTGTCTTCTTCGGGGAATGCTGATATTCCACTGTCACCACTCATCTTGAAAGAGTGTGATAAGTGCAAGTCATTTTCAAAGTAAGCCAAAAGCACACACACAAGGTGACACTCCAACCGGCTAAATCTACTGAAATTTATAAAGTTTTGGCTGAAACGGCTTAATTGACCGAATCTAGTGAATTATAGAAAAATTATATTTAAAATACCTTTTATTAAGAAAATAAGAAAAAATTGTATGAAAAATTACTAAAATAGGCATTCACAGTAACTTCGTTCAATTCAGCTAGATTATAACTTCAACTTTTTTGTTTTGATTATTATATGATTCTGGGCGTAAAATTAAAAACTACGTGCTAATGAAAAAGTTGACTGATAAGACGAAAAACAAGATCACCAAATGGACCCTTAGTTGGGTTAGTTTGGATTTCTATTTTTTGGACTCGTTCTGATTAATATGGTTTGGGGAAAAACATTGTGAACTTAGATTCTACACAAACACCGGGAATATAGATCAAAGCTCCAAGAAAAACCAGAGATTCTCACCATTAGAGACATCAGTTCAGACTGCAACCTGTTGATAAATAAAAGTACTCCATTCAGATCTAAATTAAAAAATCATTTTCACTCAAATCTATGTACAGAAGCTGTTGTGATTTGATGACAAGTCCAAGAGACGTATGAACCCAATTATTTCATCCAAATCTCCAAAGAGTCTGTCTAGAATGAAATTCAAAGGATTCATGGAGTTTCTTTAGAGATAATTTATTTGAACAAACTAGCTATTCATGGAATTAAGCAATCACAAAGAATTTCTACAAAAAACTGGAGATCGTTTATATGTACCCATCGTGAGATTCGAATCAATTGCGAATAAATAAGATCCAATTCAATAAGATCAAAGGAGGTAATTGACCTTTTAAGGACGGAGTGAGCATCAATGGTCTTAGCAGGTTGCGGCGGCTTCTTGGGTGACGGCACAACCGGAAGACTGTTGGGGTTGGTATTCGCCGCCGCAGCCATTGCTTCAAGTTCTTGATGGAACTGTCTCTTCCTGTGAATAATCAGAGAGATAGAAAGAAAGAGAAAATGAACTTCTCCGGTAAAGAGTAATCAGAGAGAGATACAGTGAGGATTATCTGCCGGAAGAATGTTGGTTTGGGGATTTCAGGGGTTCGATGAAATTATTAAAAAATTGACACAATCATAAGCTTAAAAAATCTTTTACACGGCAACGGCTAGTTCGACAATCATTCAAAATAAAGAAAACCCTCAAATATGTCATGTATTTTTATTAACGAAAAATCAATTACAATTTTGTATCTTAAATTTCATCATTTTTTTAATTTCTATTATGTATTTTTATTAACGAAAAATAAATGTAACTCACTAACGGCAGCGTCACATTTTTTTCCTTTTTCCCTTTTTGGTATTAATTAATTAATGACTATGAAATCGGTGACTCATGTGATCAAATATTTATCATACTCGAACTATGGATCGTTAGAAATCACGATACATTATGTGATCGTGTGATAGACCATTCATTAGAGCATCTTTAACATGAAACAATTTTGACAAATGACAATCAATAATTGGAATAATCTTCCATGTCATATTAAGCGTCATGTAAACAAACGTGAAATCCAAAAATATGATCCAATGCTTATTGTTCACGGCCCATAATAATGCTTACGTGTAATAAGCATTTTGTTTAGAAAATAAATAAAAATCAGCAAAAGAAATCCTCCTGTAAGTGAAAACCCTTCTAACGGCTTCTAACTTCTGCTTTCAAGGTCTCGGCGATGAGTTTACAGATTTGTTAAAACCTATATGAAATATTAATTTTTTTAAAGATAAAAACTTATGACCTTCGTTCTGCTACACATAAATTACAGATTTGTGAGTTATGTGGATGATTTCTAAAAGAATCCCACTACTTGATGCAAGTTGATGCCGTACGTGGATGATTTGGTTTGGCAGATAGATTTTTTTATGGGCAAGAGAATTTCTCAGATTTTTCGTTGCGTACTTCTCCGTCAAAATATGCTGAGTGAGCATGTTAAACACACCGTTATTCCTAAACAGTCGTGGTAACACTGTTAATATTGATTTTTGACACATCAGCACTACATGGGATGCATTGGAGACGTAAATATCAAATACAATGTTGACATGGATGAATAGGCCATGTTTTTTTGATGTTAACAGTGCCATTGATGATGCTCTTTCAATGTGTAAATGAATTTCATCTAATTTCAAAGACTACTTGATGTCCAAATATTTTCTAACGTTCATAAACCTATTATTAGGAGTACTAGAACTGGATCGCATACACCGTTAAAATGCAGTGATTATGAAAACCAGTGTTCTTCATTTTCATACCGTGCCTTACAGAGCTAATATACATTCATCTTCGAGCTTTTCTTAATTGTGAGTATATTGAATCTCTACATGTTTTCTTGTATTTTTGTAGATTATACATGTTGTTCATCTTCACATTTACTCTTGATCTTTATTATTCATCAAGTAAGTTGACTCACAAGTTACTCGAGATCGAGTCGATTCTTACTCGAACCTAGCTAACCTCGATTCAAACTCGAAATCGACTTGAACCAAACCGACTAAAGCTCAAGTTATATATAGACTCGAATTGAAAAGCTTGCAAACTATTAAGTTATTATTATTCCCTCAGTCCCGCTAAAACTATCTCATTATCAACCACATAAACACATTTTTCTTAATAACCACACCACATCTTCATATCTTAATGTTATTGGGACGAAGGTATTAGTTAGTGTTGATTTTTATTCATACATATGACATTACATCATATATCCATAGCATGGATTCATGCATAAAAGGTATACTAATTTTCTATTAAAAATGTACTACAGATTCACATATTATTTAAAGTTTTAGACAATGTTCTAAAAGTGTTATGCGGATCTCAGACATTCTCTCGCGATGTTCAAGTAAATTTAAGTAGTATTAATTGAGCATAGTTTATGTTAGTCTTAAGTAAATCATAGGCGATGAAGAGAGTCTTCATGTCTAAGGGTGTGTTTGGGAGTTTGAGGGTGAGGGAAGGGGAAGACTTTAAAGGAGAGTAGAGGGAAGGGAAGGGGAGGGAAATGGGAAGGGATTCCCTCCTCTTGTTTGGGAGTTACAAATTTCAAAAGAGGAGGGTTTTGGAGGACATATAATTAAAATGACACAGATAACTCTTTCTCATTGTATAAACGTTATAGTACATTGGATGTTATATTTTGTTGTTGTTTAGATTACTAGTTGCTTTTGATTTTTTTTCTTGAAAAAATGCTTCAATATATACATATATATTGAGAAACAGAGAAACCAAATGTTGAACGGAGATAGAGTGAAGTAGATTACAACAAAATACGAAAAATGCTCGGGAAACAGAACATACCTGAGAATTTTAGGCGAAATAGTGAAGTTATGGCGTCGATAGCAGAGGATCCACTTCAAGCAGCAATGATTTCAAGCAAAGAATTTCGAGCAGAGAAAAAGCTAGGGTTCCTAGCGGATACAGTAGTAATTTGTGTGGGAGTAGGGATGGACTCAGGTCAGGTCAACCAGACCAAAACCGGCCCGGCCCGACCCGGTACTGTTACGACCCGGCCCGAACCGAGGCCCGGTTCCGGGCCATGTGCTTTATACCCGAACCGGGATTTTTCGGGGCCGGCTCCGGGTCGTAATAAAATAAACCGGCCCGGTTCGGGCCATTTTTTTTTTGTTTTTCAAAATCTTTGGGAGGTAAATTGGTTGGGCTCGGTGTTTTGGACGGGTTTGGGGTGTGGGGGTGGTGGGGGGTGGGGGGTAGGAAGTAATTAGAAAACCAAAAAAAAAGGTACCTGACCCAAAACTGGCCCGACCCGAACCGACCCGGCTTGGGCCCGACCCGACCTGGCTTGGGCCCGACCCGGACCCGGTAGCTACCCGGGCCAGTTCCGGGTCTCAACAAACCAAAAAAAGCCCGATCAGGCCCGGCCCGACTCCATCCCTATGTGGGAGCAGATTGTCGTTCGTAAAGCTGGGCCAAACTTTAGATAATCAGTGTACAACAGTCATTTGATCGGTTAGTCCTTCGAAACCTCCCAATTCGGGGGAATTAGAAAAGTCGAACTTTGAGGGGTTTACGAGGATTTTAAAAAACCTCCAAAAACTTTCCTTCCATTTTAAAAAACTCCCAAACACAAAATGGGGGGTCATTGACCCTCACATCCCTTGCCCTCCCCCCAAAATCCAACTCCCAATCACACCCTAAGAGACAACTAGCCGGAGGATTTAAAACGGTGTTTTATATTTAAAAAATTATTGATGATTGCACATATGCAGGTGTTCAAATATATAATAAATCAATTTTTTTATTTAAAATATACGAGTATCATTTTAGAATAGATAAAATTTGAACTCAACTTGAACCAAGCTATACATTGTTCGACTCGTCTGAAACTCGACTTGATCTTGAACTCGGTCTTTCTTTATCAAGCCCAACTTATCAACTTGATCTAAACGAATATCAATTTAGGAACACAACGTTTGTAAATCTCAAGTGTTGGTATGAGTAGTATTATAATCCGTTTAAATTAAATCTCAAGTGTTACAATCACCCCCACTTAGGAACGCAACGTCCTCGTTGCGCCCATAAACCAATATCAATCAAATCCCAGAATCCCTCCCCCCCCGCTAAGTGCCCGACCGATATCCAACGAATCAGTACACTGTCACAGGGTTGGTCTGATACCACCTGTAACACCCCGGCCCTACAGGACGCGAGGTAGTTACTCCAACACACCCTTCAGACCTCTAGTACTGTCCTCACAAACCTCCACTAGCCTTTAACGCGCACTTTATCCTCACTCATTCACGCCCTGAGAAACTTCTCAGGGGGCACTCATCCCAAGACTACTCCCGTGCAAGCACGCTTAACTTTGGAGTTATTGGGTGATGGGCTCCCTTAAAGGAGATGCACCTCTGTTGGTATGAGTAGTATTATAATCCGTTTAAATTAAATCTCAAGTGTTACAATATATGACCCTTAAAAAGGCTAATACATATAATAAAGAACACATATATATTCTATGAATAGCATTCTCATCAGGCCGGCCTGACGGTAACCCCCATCAGACCGCTTCAATTTGAGGTGCTCCTGGGTGGATTTTGTTATAAAATTTTGTGAGCGTGTTTTTCACGAAGTACAGACTATGTCCACAAAATTTCTGGTTTAAGTTCAATCAGGAAGTCAGTTAAATAAATTATTGAAAAACATTGTGCCAAAATATATTATAAAAATGCAGTGTTTCCAATAATTTATTTAAATGACTTCCCGATTGAGTTTTAAGCCAAAACTTTGTGGACATAATCTAAACTTCATGAGGAACACGTGCATAAAATTTCATTAAAAAAGTCCACCCGCAAGCATTCAATAGAAACTAGGGACAACTCAACTTACTAATCGTATCATTCCCCTTGCATAGACTTGATCATAAAAACGTACAAATGGAATAATTAACACATAATTAATCCCCGTAATAGTAGAATTAAATTCATAATTTATTCCCATAATTGTATATCTAATCACTCAATAATTTGCTCCAACAATTGCCCCCGTTTGATAAGTTGAGGTGTATGGGTGAACGTGTTAGGCCTTCAAGCAACAACTTTTCAAAATTTTAAAAATTAAATAAAATCTAGCCGTTTGGCCCGGACCCGACCCGACCCCAAAACTCAAGCCCGTAGCCCGCCTGTATATATCCTCGGGTCGGGGCCGGTACCGGAAAACCAGGCCCAGGCCAGTACCAAATAATATCGGTCTCTGGTCGGGCCGCCCTGACCTAGTCCACCCCTAATTACGTACATGTTTAGAAGACACGAAGAACTCACTTTTTCCTTTATAATTATGTATAATCCCCGCCATTTATGTTTGACATTTTTGTAAGGTTTCTAATTATGTAAGCTTCGTCATTTATGTCTTGACTAAATTGCCTAAATAGAAATAAAAATGTTTGTGAATTCCACAAGACTGTCATTTTATTTTCTAAATGAGTAATAATTGTCATTGTTTGACAATACTAAACTCTAAAAATAAGATTTTTTTTTCAAGATTGGTAAGGTAGCAGTAATTACTTCTATTTAAAGAATAAAAACATGACAATCTTATTTTGAAATTCTAAAACTTCATCACTCCTATTTCAAGAATTTTTCCTTCTAATTACTTTGATAAATTTGACATTTAATTCTTTTTTAATTCAAATAATCAAATAAGATTTGAATATATACAAACGCAAGAAACAAAGTAAATATGAATATCAAATAAGATTCAATTATTAAAAGAATACAAATATTCATTAATGCTTATAAATACTACTCCCTCCATCCCTTAAAACTTTGTCATCTTTCCTTTTTGAAACATCCCAAAAAACTTTGTCACTTTCCCTTTTAATCAATTATTTTGTGGTTTCTGTTATTTCTCTCCCCTCTGCACAAATCTCAACCACACAATTTTTACTTTATTATTCTCCGTGCCGGTCAACTTTGGCAAAGTTTTAAGGGACGAAGGTAGTAATATTAATCTCAAATATTTGGTACAATTTGATTCATTGTGTCCGATATGAGATTCACATGTACGTATAATGTTTCCATTTAAACCTTAGTATTAAGCATGAGATTCACACACAACCATAGTGTTCAATTTGATTCTTAAAATCATATCTGGCTAAACTAAAAAAGTATTTGATCCTTTTCCACAAACCCTTAAACGAAAACACAATAACCATTTAAGTACAAAAAGAGTGCATCACATACACAATCTCTATATACTCCCATAGGCCTCCTAAATCATATCATTCTATTACATGGGTTTTTATACATAATATATGTATGTATCCCACCTACTAAACTAAACAAACAAACTTTCATCATAGTCCTACACACACACTCCAATTACTTTGATCATAAGAAAAGATAAAATTGTGAGAAGCCAGGAATGATTTGCCGCCATCTACACTTCCAAAGCTATGTCAAAGTGCCGGACTCCCACCCGAAGACTCGGTGGAACGCACACTGTGGTAATTTGATTCCCGAGAGCAACTTAGAGTCCTTCCATAGCCACCATTTGTGTTGAACTGAAGCTTGGGTGCTTCTTGACCTGATGATGGAGAAAAGGAGCAGGGGGGTAGAGGTGCACCAGAACCCTTTTGATTTGACACATCAGATGAATCAGACTTCTTTACAAATCTACCCCCTGAACCCCTAGCCCTCCTAAGAGCATGTTGATGTCTAGATTCATGAAGATATGGCTGCATTTGAATAACATATTTACAAAGGAATTAAGACTAACAAAAATACATTCAATTTTTTGTCCCACAGACTAGCAGTGTATTTAAATTTTGTTTCTCAATTCTAAATTTTCCTGCAAAATGCATGGTTAATTGGTTATCAATTCCAAGCAAATTCAAGTCCTGCAATGATTGATTTTTCTCATGTTCTGAAGAAAAGTGACAAGGATATTCGCAGTCATGCACCAAAATTAAAATTATGTAATCGTCCTCGAACAAAGGTGGAACAAATTCTTAATATAACTCCAGCCCAAAATTAAAGTACAACAACATCCAAGCCTTAATCTCAAAAGAATTTGGGGTCGACTCCAAAATTTAAGTTTCATTTTAAAATTAAGGTCTCATTTTTGGAAACTTCTTTCAGTGTATTATTACCGTTTTACCCCATATCGATAATCCTTTTACCATATTGGGGTGTTCCTTCTTGTCATTGTACCCATAATTAGTATCACCTACCTATCTATCCAAAACAAGCCTAGCCCTATAACCTACCCTCCTAATGCATATCCCCCTCTCTCTGCCACTATCTAACCATAATATATGCAGTCAACATTTTAGCTCTGAAACAGAGTTGCAGTCACTGCACAGTGTAAACAGACAATTTCAACAATGGAAAAACCAAAAAGTAATGGTAAGAGGGGAAAATAGAAGGCTAAAGCTAGTACTTGAGATCCTTTATTAATCTCTGTGCCCAAAAAGTATGGAACGGAGGGGGTAATTGATTGAACAGCTATACACGAAGAAAAACAATACAAAAGTATATTATTCACTGAAGCTAAGAGCTTATTTGGTTGGATAAAAACTTGCTTTATCTGTTGAAAGTAAAAGGACCATTTATCTCTAGAAATCCGACGGTTAAGGCTACTAAGCCCCAAACAAGGGAATACAGTCATGTTAAAGGGTCTGCATATAACCATAACATATGCAGTCAACAATTTAACTCTGAAACAGTGTTATGTAGCACAGTGTAAAAGAACTATTTCAACAACGAAAAAACCAAAAAAAAAACGTGGTCAGAGGGAGGGGGAAAAATAGAAGGCTAAAGTTGAAACTTAACACCCTTAATTAATCTTTGTGCCCAAAAAGTATGGAACGGAGGGGGTAATTGACTGAACAGCTATAGGTAAAGAAAAACAATACAGAAGTGTATTAGTCACTGAAACTAATAGCTTATTGGGTTGGATAAAATCTTGCTGAATTTGTTGAAAGTAGAAGCACCATTTAGGAAACTGAGATTCCTAAAGTAAATCGTACAGATAAGACTAATAAGCCAAACAAGGGACCCAAAGGGCAATTTATATCTTGCAGAATGTCAATACAACTAATCTTAAAGCAAATACAAAAGAACATAGTTCTTAATTGAAACTAAAGAGTCCATTTGGTGCCATGGTGGGATAAACACTGGTTGAAAAGGTTGAAGTTGGTTAAATGCGGTCTAAATTGCTAAAATAACTCAATTGTCTCAATGCCTGAATTATCAAAAAATGATTTAGAAATATGGTGTTTTAAGAGATTAAAATGAAACAACAGTTTAAATATGAGGGTAAATGGGCAATTTACCTTCTTAAAAATCAGTTCAACAAAAAAATGTATATCTTGCACTGCTTTTTCTTATTATCAACTGATTCAGCTAATGCCATAAAACAAGTCAGTGTTTTAGTATTAAAAAAACTAGCTAATAAATGAGGTAGAAGTTTAGAACCAAATGAAGACTCGTATCATGCATGAAATATAAAAAAGAAAGGTCCAAGAGTAAATAGCAATTTCCTCCCCCAAAAGTTTTGGTAAGATAGAAAATAGAAAACTTTGTGTTAGAACACAAACCTTTCTAACTTTGATCAGCTTCTTCTGAAGTTCCGCTTTGGCCCGAGACTCTCTTCTACGAAGGATTCCATGGTACTGCTTGGCATTCACATAAACAGGCTCTTGTGTCATTTCAAGTGGCAACGGCATCCTCATGTGATGCATATCCAGTATATCAGGAGGTACCTAAGGATGAGTACAAAATTTGTATGCTTCAAACTACTAAAGGAATGTAATTCATAATGGTTGAATCCTGACATATAAACACAGGATCAATAAACTATCCACAAAAAGGATTTCCTGATGTCTACTAAAGAAATACAACAACAACATCCAAGCCTTAATCCGAAATGAGTTTGGTCTGCCACAGCCTCCACCACAACCACAACCACAACCACAACCACAACCACAACCACAACTACAACCACAACCACAACCACAACCACAAGATTAATCATAATAATAAATTAATAATAAATATTAAATAGAGAGAGGGAGACAAACAAATCAATCTTCGATTAGTCCATATGTATACTATCCCTCCAATTCACACTCTCTAAAGTCATGCTCTCATCTAATCCAAGTAGTGTCAAATCATTCTTCACCACTCTAATACACATCTGCTATTCTGCTAAGGTGATCCCCTACCTCTCCTCCCTGCCTCCTTTCTCCACTTTTCAATTTGTCTAGCAGGTACATCAATAGATCTTCTACACATGGCCGTACAACCGCAACTGAGTTTCTCACATCTTATTTTTAATAGGTGTTACTCCCATTTTTTGTCTATTATCTCATTCTTCAAGCACTCTTTTTTAATATATCCACACATCCATCCAACTCAACATGCACAACTTAGCCATCTCTACGAAAGAAATAATTGAAAAAAAACCTCCTGAAAAGGTTTTCTGTTGAAATTATGAAGAATTGATTTTTCATTTCCTAAACACAAAAAAGAATCTTAAACACACTAAATATGATCATTGCGATTCTAAATGAAATCCATGTCCCTTGATCTAAATGAAATCCATGTCCCTTGAAATCCATTCAAAGGCATTAAGACACTCCACATACCATTGGTTGACCATAAGCAGCTATGATTTGACCAAAATATGGGTTAACGTATGGATTTGGAGCACAAGCCTGAAATAGCCATAACAAGATATCAGGCTGGAAAAGATTGACGAGGCAACACACTCAGGCTCGCAAAGATGGACAAGGCAACATACTCAGCGGGTAATTACTTTCCATCAACAGATGCCATAAAAAGAAGAAAAAATCACTTTTGGTTCAATGATTATTAGGTCATTGAGTCATTCCGGTTTTTAGCCACTGAATTTCATTCTTTTACACTTTCGGTGCTTGACTATGTATTCCTAGCCACTTTTTCTCCTTAAGGCTACTTATCCGATCAGTTTCTGGTATTTTTACACGATATGTGATTTGAAAAGGATCAAAAGTGACAACAAAACCATAGTCGAGCACCAAAAGTGGAAAACTGAAAGTGAGCGACTAATTGAGAATAACGTAATTTTCATGACAACAAAAGTGGAAAATGCTTCTTAAAAAAGTACTCACAACTGAATGCCCCACAAGTTCAAGCTGTTGCACTGGCTGTGTAAGGTGCTCATCATCTCCTCCTCCTGGCACAATTGATGCAACTAGCCGAATACTCTGATTTGCTTGTTCACATATTCCTTCTAACCTTAAAACAATTATTTCATTAGTAATAACATATATTATCCCAGACCAACATGAAATCAAAATATCTTACTCAAAAGAATTTGGTTAAATACACATCTCTCTCTACACTTATTTCTTCTATTTAGAGCTTGACGGGTGGGAGGATAAGTGTCATACTGCCATGGAATGAAAGATTACCTTAGCTAATAGGATAACCTTCAGGAAGTCCATATGAACTTAGAAGAATGGAAAAATTAACGAAAGCTGTTTTGTTCACAAAATATGATATTATTATGCCATGAAATTGTTAAGGATAAAGATGGGATAATCTAAAATATTAGTAACATAATTCACAACATCTAAGAAACCCCGCAACTGAACATCAATTTGTATTCTTACGTGTAAGTAATATCAACTTATCAAGTAACCTTTAGTAGTTTAAAAATTTAAACCAAACAAGACAATCACACATTACTTTTCTCACATTAGCAAGTAATGTGACGTTACCTAAACAAAACGCCCCCAAAGTGATATGCTTAGAAGTTCAATTCCCCCCTAATGCATCTTTAGCCTTTTTGTATCTTTAGCTTTAATATAGAGCAAGTGACATCCTGAAGGCATTTGTACCTTGATGTGAAGGAGCATTATTTTCTGTTTTTTCAGTAGCATTGTTGCCTGCGTAATTTAATCCAACATCAGATTGTGATCGGTCATCCACAGATTGCTCCAATGAAGAAGATGACGAATCACAAGCATCTCCCTGCATCATCATGGATGTGTAGCCAGCACTGTTTTCCCACCAAGGTGCAGAGGAAGAATGAGGAATGATATGTGGATTGGCTTCCAATAGGTTTGCAGCTTTTGATACTGGTAGCATTTTTTTCAGTACTTCAAGAACTGTAATCAAATGTCCTGTAAAACACAAAGAAATCTTAATCCATTTTAACATTCTAAAAACTTCCCGGCACTGGGGCAGGTGGCATACTGAGTCCCAAGTATATTCTATGAGTGTCAAACCATCACCCTCCTGGATATTACACAAATTCCAAACACCATATAAGAGATCAGCTTCTTAACCTATGTTGGGCTTCTTTAAAGTAGTACTAAAGGATGGTTATTCTTCACTCAATTCCGATGTCCAGCCCAGCTAGTGTGAGGAAGCCCATGCAGACAAAGATTTTAGAGAAGAGACCCATATCAAACAAGGAGTTCGAAATAACTCGAAAAACTATCACCATTAACCATTCAGGTTCTTTCTTTTTTGCGAGAAAATGTATTAGCCAACAAAAACATACCCGACGGTGCAATCAGTAACATCAAATGAATCCCAGATTTTAGTCATCAATTCAATCTTGAATGAAGGGACAGCTAAAATTTCCAGACAATTGTGATTGAGTATATATTGAACGGTTACCTCAAATTTGTTGGTTCCCGAACCTTCTTGCAGCCCATTCTCAAGGAAACCCAAATAAATAATACTAACGTATACATACACCATTAATTTGGCAATTGGCAGAGATGGATACCAAATTTTAGTTCGACATAATAATGGAACAACATCAACAACAGGACTTCAGCTAAAAGGGGGCATTATAGCACTTTAAGTAGATATTAGGAATGGATCACAATTATCGTCTAATAAAAAAGAAGTTCGAGATCAAAATATAATTGGATAATTCGAGAGGAAAAATATTTACCTGCTGCGAGAGAGAATATCGATTGGATAATTCTTGTGGAGACGAGGATGAGAGGGGATTCACCGATTTTTTCAGAGATGATAATAATGACGTAGTCATACGACGAGGACTCGCTACCCTTACACGGACAAGTAGTGCTTTGCAAAACTTTGTGAACACACCTTATTTTGTGCAGGGGAGAGAAATGTGCAGAACCACCAATTAGTTGTTTAATAAGAAAGTGATAAAGTTTTTTGGGACCGAGGGAGTATGTGTTTTGTCTAAGAACTTCACATAAAAAGTTTAATAGGCATCTACAAATAATTTTTTTCATAATGTTTTACATTCTCTTTCTTGTTATAAAATGAAGAAGATGAACACTAAATTTAAGATATATATATATATATATATATATATATATATATATATAATTAATAAGCTCTAAATTATCTATAAAAAATTGAATGCCTTTACAAAGAATGAAATAAACCATATTTATACTAACCAAGCTTAGGGATGAATCATCTAGGAATGATTCTACATAATTTGTTGGCAGTATTGAATCTAGTCATCTATCTATCTATGATTATTACAATGATTGATACTAGATTGGTGTCCTGATTACAAGGATTAAAATTTGATGAGTAGAGTTGATTACAAGGATGAATAATTCACACATGTAATTTCCAGGATTTTACAACACCCCCCTTGAATGTTCATCCTTGAATAGTTATTTATAGTGTGAAAGTTAAGGGGTAAAGATTACGACATATAATGTCGTTGTATTTGGATGTACTGTCTCGTTAAAAACCTTATCAGGAAAAACCTTGTGGCATAAAAACTTGATGAAGGAAAAAAGATTGCAGTGCATTCAAATACTTCCCCTGAAATTAACATAAATTTTGAAGACGGCACATGCCGATTTTCTGTACAAGTTCTATGAACTTCTTAGGGGGTAAAGATTTGGTGAAGAGATTAGCTGGGTTTTCACTGGATCTGATTTGTTGAATGTTGATCGTCCCTTCTTTCTCCAGATCATGAGTAGAGAAGAAATTTGGTGATATGTGTTTTCTTATGTCACCTTTGATGTAGCCTTCTTTAATCTGAGCTATACATGCAATGTTGTCTTGATAGATCACAGTAGGGTGAATAGTAATAGTCTTTATGCCGCATTCATTTTGGATGTGTTGAATCATAGATCGCAGCCACACACATTCTCTTCCGGTTTCATATAGTGTAATTAACTCTGAATGATTTGATGATGTAGGTGTCAATGTCTGCTTCGTAGGTCTCCACGAGATTGCGGTGTTACCCTAAGTAAATACGTACCCAGTTTGTGATTTTGCCTTTTGAGGATCCGATAAGTATTCAGCGTCTGCATATCCGATTATATCTGCTTTTGCATCTTTGTGGTACAATAGGCCGAGATCAGGTGTACCGCAGAGATAACGGAATATGTGTTTGACCTCGTTCCAATGACGCCTTGTTGGGCATGAGCTGTACTTAGCTAATAAATTTACAGAAAATGCAATATTTGGTCTAGTATTATTAGCTAAATACATTAAAGCTCCAACAGCACTCAGATATGGCACTTCGGGACAGAGTATTTCTTCATTGTCTTCTCGAGGACGGAATGGATCATCGTGTATGTTGAGAGATCGAATCACCATTGGTGAAGTCAACAGATGAGCTTTGTCCATGTAGAACCGCTTCAAAACTTTCTCGGTGTAATTGGATTGATGGATGAAAATTTCATTCTTCAAATGCTCAATTTGAAGTCCGAGACAAAATTTGGTTCTCCCGAGATCTTTCATTTCAAATTCTTTTATAAGATATTTTGCGGTATTTTCAATTTCATCAGGAGTTCCAATAATGTTTAAGTCATCAACATATACTGCAATTATGGCAAATCCCGAATTTGATCGCCGAATGAAAACACATGGACTGATTGGATCATTCTTATAACCTTCTTTGAGAAGACATTCACAGAGATGGTTATACCACATTCGTCTAGATTGTTTTAGTCCATACAATGACTTCTGTAATTTAATGGAAAACATGTCTCGAGGTTTCGAGCTATAAGCTTTAGGCATTTTAAATCCACCGAGAACTTTCACATAAATGTCTGTATCGAGTGAACCGTATAAATATGCAATCACTAAATCCATTAGGCGCATTTGCAGCCTTTCAAAAACAGACATGCCAATAAGAAATCTTAATGTAGTTGCATCAACTACTGGAGAATAAGTTTCTTCATAATCTATTCCCGGCATTTGAGAAAAACCTTGGGCAACAAGTTGGGCTTTATATCTTACGATTTCATTCTTCTCATTGCGTTTACGCACAAATACCCATTTAAAGCCTACTGGTTTTACGCCTTTTGGCGTATGGACTATTGGTCCAAAAACATCACATTTTTCAAGTGATTTTAATTCAGCCTGAATAGCTTCATTCCATTTTGGCCAATCGTGTCGTTTCCGACATTCTTCTATTGATGTTGGCTCATTGTCATTGTTTTCATTCATAACATTTGTGGCAACGACATAGAAAAATATCTCATTAATATCAATATCTTTTTTATTCCATTGCATTTCGATAGAAACGTAGTTTATTGAAATTTCATAATTATCAACGCTTCTATCATTACCTGGAATATCTTCCTCATTTGAGGAAGTTGGATCATTATTTGAGATGTTTGTTTTGTCAATATCATTTTCTATACCAATAGTTTCAATGTGTTTATTTTCTTGTTCTGAAGGATGAACATCTTCGGCATCACCGATCAATTCCTGTCTTTTAGTTTTTCTTGGTTTTATATCTTTCGATCCAAGTGGCCTGCCACACTTTTTGTGTATAGAAGAATCATTTGCAAGAGATTTTTCAAAATTCTCTGCTGGGATTTCGATCCTGGCAGGGGCATTCATGGCAGGAATATGTGACTTTGTCACTTTCTTTGTATCTGTGAATGCATCAGGCAACTCATTTGCAACACTTTGTAAATGGATTATCTTTTGCACCTCTTGCTCACATATATTTGATCTTGAATCAAGATGTGATAATCATGTTGCATTCCATGTAATTTCTTTCGTACTTGGGTCTAAATTATTATTTTCTCCTCCTAAGGTCGGGAACACGGTCTCATTGAAATGACAGTCTGCAAACCGTGCGGTAAATAAATCACCGGTCATAGGTTCGAGATATTTTATTATCGATGGAGATTCAAATCCAACATAAATTCCCCACCTTCTTTGAGGACCCATTTTTGTACGATGATGTGGAGCAATCGGAACATAAACAACACAACCAAATATCTTAATGTGTGCTAAGTTTGGATCTTGTTCAGTAACTAATTGCATTGGGGAATGTTTATGATATGCAGTTGGTCTACGCCGAACTACATTTGTTGCATGTAAAATAGCATGTCCCCAAGCAGATGAAGGTAAATTACACTTCATTAATAATGGTCTAGCGATTAATTGTAATCGTTTAATCAAAGATTCAGCAAGACCATTTTGTGTATGGACATGTGCAACAGGGTGTTCCACATCAATCCCAATCGACATACAATAGTCGTTAAATGATTGGGATGTAAATTCTCCTGCATTGTCAAGTCGGATTCTCTTTATAGAATGATCCGGAAAATGAGCTCTTAATCGTATGATTTGAGCAAGGAGTTTAGCAAATGCTAAATTTCTTGTCGATAAAAGACTGACATGTGACCAACGTGTTGAAGCATCAATCAACACCATAAAATATCGAAATGGTCCACATGGTGGGGCTATCGGCCCACAAATATCTCCTTGAATCCTCTCTAAAAAATGCAGGTGATTTAGTTGCAATTTTGTTCATAGAAGGGCTAATGATCATTTTTCCAAGAGAACAAGCCTTACAAGGAAAACAACTTGATAATGGAACCCTGATATTCTTTAATGGGTGTCCAGTGAAGTCTTAATGATTTTATGCATCATTACATGACCCGGGTGACCTAAACGGTCATGCCATAACATGAATGTTTTCTGATCATCTAACTAATATATGTGAAATATAGGCCTGAGAAATATGCTGACATTTTTTCACCAATATATTTAATGCCAGATTTAGTTGTCATGAGACAAAGACATTCCTTTTGATTTTCATTCATGGTTTCTATGTGATAACCATTTTGACGCATGTCTTTAAAACTTAATAAATTTCTCTACGGTTTGCTGGAGTATAAAGCGTCAATTATAATTATTTTTGTCCCGAAAAGTTACAGATAAAAAACCCTATCTTTGGCGGACGAGTAGACGGCGTATCATGGCGGCTCCTGCGGCGGAGCCTCCCCCGACCAATGCTTGGTCCGGCAAATCATTTGCAGATGTTGTTGCCAACAAATCTTCTACTTTGCTTTCGATCAAATCTCCTTCACGTTTCAAAGGTTTACCCGCGATTACTTTCTCGGATAGTGATATTAAGATTCTGGCGGATAAACACCGTATGTCGTTGATCGGATACTTTTATAAAGGTCGTCCGAATTTGGACAGGATTCGGAAATCTTTTGAGGTTATTGGTTTCAAGGGTGCTTTTCAGTTGGGTGTTTTGAAAAAAAACATATCTTGATACGCTTTGATTCGGATGAAGATTATTTTCGTTGTTGGAATCATCAAAGCTGGAACATCCAAGGCTTTGAGATGAGGGTGACTAAGTGGACACCAGACTTTCGTCCTAATGTGGAGTCACCGGTGATCCCAGTCTGGATTTCTTTGGAAGGCCTACCTTTACATCTCCAGGATAAGAGAGCTTTGTTTGATATTGCGGGTTTAATTGGTAAACCCTTGAAGATTGACTCAACTACAGCCAACCTGTCCAGACCTTCTGTGGCTCGTGTTTGCATTGAACTTGATCTCACCAGGGAGATGCCACAGAAGGTTTGGATCAATTGTGGAAGTTATGGATATGCGCAGCCTGTTATCTATGAGCAGAGCCAGAATACTGCTCATCATGTTTACATTTGGGGCACTCTCACTCTAAATGCCCCAAGTCCAACATGGAGATCCCTAAAGTTAATCATGTGCAGAAGGATAAATGGGTGGAGAAAAACAAGGGGGATCAACCTAAGCAAGGTAGGTTTACACTTCAGGAAAAAGGAAAATCAATAATACAGAATGGAGCTACATCTGCTAAAATGC